CATCGAAGAATGTAATGATTTAAATTTTCCGAATTGTGAATATTTGTCGATCGTAAAAGGTGAGGAGCCGTTCCAAACTGGCAATTCGTGGAATATTAAGCGAATGGCATTGTGGGACCAAATATATGATTCTTGCTAAATTGCTTTTTTGAATACGCATACGCATACATATGCAATAAGGTAGAAAATAAAGTCATACTACCCTTTTTGTTTTTTTATACACGATGGAGGCTTGTTTTCGGGCACTTCAAGTATTTTTATTAATTTTCAAGCTTGTACATAGGTGCCTTTGGTGAACATTACATTTCTACATTTTAAGCCAAAAAAAAAAAAACACTAATTGCTAAGGATATTCAAATGTTTTCATTTAATGCGAAGTATCGAGTATACAATTAATTTCTTAATATGACATCATTCAAATCACCTCCAAGACTAAATTTTCGGGATCGGATTAGATAAACTCACTAAATCAAGTCGTATGTCATGAATTACAAGCATGTTCAATACAGACTTCTTAAGCTTAAAGAAAGTGTGGTTTATTACTATATGCCAATAACTTCAAATAATTCCGCAATAAGTAGTCTAATGGTATTAAATCACAACCGCTCTGAGGCCATTCAGTTTTCACAATTTCTTGAAATAATAGAATCTCCACACCTTTCTCTCAATAATACGGTTGTTGCACGAGCTGTGGAGCACGTAGCTAACTGTTGTTGGAACCAGATTTTGTTAAGATCAACTTCTTCTATTTCTGGCCATAAAATGTTGGTTATCAGCAATTTATACCGGAAAAAGTATGGACCAATGATGCCACCACACCAAAAACTACATCAAACTGTCAATTTAGGTGAATGTAATGGTTGCTCATGAATAATTAATAGATTTTCTTCGCACTAGAATTGACAGTTTTGTTTATTTACCGCATCACTGAGATGAAACTTGGTCAACTATTATAATTTTATATAAATTTGAGAACAATTGTTTTGGTCATAAAATTGAATAATTTGTAAAGGTGCTATTCAAACACGGGGACGAAGAACTGATAAGAAGCATGAATCCGCTTCTTTGTAGAATATTGCCGGGAGTAAGCATACTCGACGATTGGAATTTAAGTGTACCACCTCTTCGTTCGATTTCAAGAGCTGCCCTTATGACGCGACGTCTGAATGTAAACTGACGTTGAACAATACCAAAAGCAGAGAGATTATTCGTGAGTGGAGTAAAGACAACATTGAAAGATTTTTAGAGGGATATAATACTTGTAATTAAGTAGGGAACATAATTTTGCTTCCCATTAGCTTTTAGATGATTGGTTGCCCTGAGTAACGAAACCCCTCACATGACAATCTCGACTTTATCCATCCAGTCATAAAATAATTCGAACATATATAAAATGTTTATTATTATTATTTTGATAAAAAATATTTCATTAGCAACAGAGATATTATCCTCTTCCTAAAGTGTTAATATTAATTTCTGGATTAAAAATACTAAAACTAGAAACTTATATAAAAACTGTAATTTAAAAAATACTAGCTGACTCCGCAGCCGTTGTCCTGCGTGAAATGATGTCTTTTGAAATGAAAAGAAAGTTGAATTTATCATATATTTTTTTTTCAATGTAACCACATTTTTTGGCTTCTGTTTCGGTGTACGGAAAGGATGGTTTTCAAACTCGTGAGCACGCTACGCATGTCTGACCGTGTGAAAAACATAGCACTTCCAAACTTGGCAAACCAAGTTGTGTCCTGTTGATCGTCACCTTTTCACTTGAAGCGGAATACGTTTGAACTGAAACGGCAAATCAACGGAACTCAAAAGAATTCGTAGAATCAAGCAATCTGTCCACTTGTATTCGATAGGTGCGTCACAATCAGTCGGATTCCATTGCACAGTTTCGGTGCATGAAGATTGCGAAACATAATAAAGACAGATCCAACTTTGGGACGCAAATGATGCGGTGGCATACAAAACCTCTACAAAGATTTAGAATTCCACTCAATAATTCACGGCGTCGTTTTTATTGTCAAGACGATCGATTGATTTGTATGAGCGCAAGTCTCCCGGAATTTGACTTTGAATCTTCCAGTTTAAGTCAACAACACAAGGAATCGTAGTTACGATAATTTGGAAAATGTTCGGATAAACATTCGTGATGAGTTCATCTTTCGTGAATTGATAAACGACGAATGGAATTGATATCAAACCACCGGAGGTATCAACCGAAATTTTTTCCAATTTTTAGGGAAGATGATGCAAAATGTCTTTGGCAAAGTTATTTTTGTTCGCTGGCTTACTTCTCCAAAACTTGCACACCGTAACAGTCACAGTTCGCAATGACTCAAATGAAGTTGAATCGCGAACATTGAYCGAAGGTAGAAACCATYGTCATTTTACGGGTGGATTGTATAAATTCGTCCTAAGGAATTAACTGAGAATACACTGGTTTGCCTTCCGTTCTGCGTAACTATTTCTTCGACGATG